TTAGATTGTAGATCCATGCCGTAGTGAATGGATTAATAATGGTGGTCAGGGGCATGGTTCTGAGGGCTTTAAAAGGAGAGGTCTCTCTGCTCCGCCATTCTTGTCATGTGACACCCTGCATTGCTGTACAGTCAACTCACCAGAGGTGTTCCCTGGACTATGGACTTCCTAGCCTCCAAAACTGTAAGCAATAAATTTTGTTTTCTTATAAAGTATCCAGTTCCAGGTATTTTGTTATAAGCAATAGAAACTGACTAATATAGCAACATAACAAGAGATATCTAATTTAATTCTCACAATCATTCTATATGATAAACACAATCATTACCCATATGTTACAGATGAGAAAACTCACTTCCTTCTTCGAAAAATTTTCATAGATGGTATCACTTATCATATAAAGGTGAAACCCTTTCATTTAGCATTCAAAGCCTCCCACCATTTGGCTCTCCTTTCTTTCCAATCCTATTTCTCCTTATTCCTCATGCATTCCTACCCTCCAACTAAACTAGACAACATGTCATTCCCCAAACAAGCCTTGCAGTTTCCCTGCACACCACTTTTACTCATGTTAGCCCAGCTTTGAGCAATAGTTTTTGTCTTCTCTGCCCCTGAGGAGGCATTATAGCCTCTAGCTGAATCTGCTGGCATCTTCCAATCAATCACATTACTGTCTGATGGAGTAGGGATGTATTGTCCTCCCAGAACTCAGGTGGAGATCTGATCCCCAGTGTGACAGTTTGAGTCATGGGGGTGGATCCCTCATGAATAGATTTAGTGCTCTCCCTAGGTGGGGGAGTAATAAGTGAGATCTTGCTCTATTAGTTCCCATGAGAGCTGGTTGTTTAAAAGACCCTGGCACCTCCCCTCTCTCTCTTGCTTCCTCTAGCCATGTGATCTGCTCATAACTGCCAGCTGCCTGCTGCTTTCCACCATGGGCAGAAGCAGCCTAAGGCCCATGCCAGATGCAGCTGTCCCAGAATCATAAGCCAAATAAACCTCTGTTCTTTATAAATTACCCAGTCTCAGGTATTTCCGTTATAACAACACAAACGGACTAATACAGAAAATTGGTACCAAGGAGTGGAGTGTTGCTATACAGATACCTGAAAATGTGGATGCAGCTTTGGAAATGGGTGTTAGGAAAAGGTTGGAGGAGTTTGGAGGACTTAGAAGAAGACAAAAAGATGAGGGAAACTTTGGCACATTTTAAAGATTGGTTAAATGATTGCAACCAGAATGTTGATAGAAATGTGGACAGTAAAGGCCATGTGGATGATGAGGTCTCAGACAGAAATGAGGAACTTATTGAGAATTGGACAAAAGATCACCCTTACTATACCATAAGAAGGAACTTGGCTGCATTGTGTCCATGCCCTTGGACTTTGTGGAAAGTGGGACTTAAGAGTTGTAAACCAGAATGTTTGTTGGAAGAAATTTCTAAGCAGCAAAACATTAAGGAAGCTGCATGGTTACTTTTAACAGCCCATTCTGAGTTATAGCAGCAAAGGCATGATGTAAAGCCAGAATTTCAAAGGGAAGCAGAGCGTAAAGATTTGGAAAATTTGCAGCCTGGCCATGTGGTAGAGAAGTGGAGAGCCAGAGAAAAATGCAAGGGTGAAGCAGGTAAACTGGTTGCTAAAGACATTAGCTTGGCAATGAGGCATCCAGATGCTAATAGCCAACACATAAGAGAAAAGCCCTGAAGGCATTTCAGAAGTCTGGAAGGGTGCCCCTCCCATCACAGACCCCAAGGCCTAGAAGGACTGAGTTGTCCTGGAGGACAGACCTGGGGCAGAGCTTCCCTCAGGAACTTGCTCCCTGCATCCCAGCTGCTCTGGCTGAAGCAGCCCTGCCTCAGGTGGCCCCAAGTGTGGTTCATGCAGCAGCTCTGGAAAGTAGAAGCCTGAAACCTCGGTGGCATCCACATCATATTAAGTCTGCAGGCCTACAGGGCATGAGAGCAGTGGAGGCATGGCAGCCTCCACCCAGATTTCAGAGGATGTATGAAAAAGCCTGGGGGCCCAGGCAAAGACCTGCCACAGGGGTGGAGTCACCATAGAGGCCATCTACTAAGGCAATGCCGAGCAGAAAAGTGGGGTCAGAGTCCCCGCAGAGTGCCCCCACCAAGGGTCCCCACCAGGAAAATGTCTAATAGTGCCACCATGGAAACCCCAGTCCTATGGAGCTACCAGAGTGGAATACTGGCCTGGAAAAGCCACAGGCACCAGTGCAGCTCACTGGGCTATGCCTGGCAGAGCTGTGGAGGTGGGGCTGCCCAAGGTTTTGGGGGACCAGTTGCCCAGGATGCAGAACTTGGAGTCAAAGGTTATTTTGGAGCTTTAAGATGTAATGTCTGCCCTGCTGGGTTTTGGAGTTGTTTGGGGCCTGTTTCTCCTTTCTTCTGGCCTATTCCTCCCTTTTGGAATGGGAATATGTACCCAATGACTGTTCCACCATTGTATCTTGGAAGTAGATAATTTGTTTTATTTTTACAGGTTCACAGCTGGAAGGGCTTTTGCTTTTGGTCTCAGATGAGACTTTGGACTNGTTGTTTAAAAGACCCTGGCACCTCCCCTCTCTCTCTTGCTTCCTCTAGCCATGTGATCTGCTCATAACTGCCAGCTGCCTGCTGCTTTCCACCATGGGCAGAAGCAGCCTAAGGCCCATGCCAGATGCAGCTGTCCCAGAATCATAAGCCAAATAAACCTCTGTTCTTTATAAATTACCCAGTCTCAGGTATTTCCGTTATAACAACACAAACGGACTAATACAGAAAATTGGTACCAAGGAGTGGAGTGTTGCTATACAGATACCTGAAAATGTGGATGCAGCTTTGGAAATGGGTGTTAGGAAAAGGTTGGAGGAGTTTGGAGGACTTAGAAGAAGACAAAAAGATGAGGGAAACTTTGGCACATTTTAAAGATTGGTTAAATGATTGCAACCAGAATGTTGATAGAAATGTGGACAGTAAAGGCCATGTGGATGATGAGGTCTCAGACAGAAATGAGGAACTTATTGAGAATTGGACAAAAGATCACCCTTACTATACCATAAGAAGGAACTTGGCTGCATTGTGTCCATGCCCTTGGACTTTGTGGAAAGTGGGACTTAAGAGTTGTAAACCAGAATGTTTGTTGGAAGAAATTTCTAAGCAGCAAAACATTAAGGAAGCTGCATGGTTACTTTTAACAGCCCATTCTGAGTTATAGCAGCAAAGGCATGATGTAAAGCCAGAATTTCAAAGGGAAGCAGAGCGTAAAGATTTGGAAAATTTGCAGCCTGGCCATGTGGTAGAGAAGTGGAGAGCCAGAGAAAAATGCAAGGGTGGGGGGGAAAATGGCGGCGCGCCTGGAGCACCAGTGTCGGGAAACAGCGCGATCCTGAGTGCTGTGTGCTGTGATACCAGAGAAGTGACTGCATTTCTAAGAGCAACAAAGGACGAATAAATCTTTCAACAACGATACTACATCGACAAATAAGCGGCAGAGGGTTCGAGGTTTTGGGGCCGACACGGAGAAAGACTCCAGGGGGTACCCGGGCCCGGCTGCGGGAACAATATTGGCAGCCCACACGGCAAAGGCCGGGAGAGCCAGCGGAGGAACAGCGCAGAGACATCTGAATCACGCTGAAACACGCCAAAAGGCCCACTCGGCGTCCTCCGTGAGTCACCCCCAGAAAAATCCCACTTGCGGGGCGAAGCCCGATTATTCCCCGCCCATTACACCAGGCTGGGCGCCCACAACAAAGCTGCCGCCATTTTCTAGGGTGGAGCCAGGCAAGCCCGGAATAGTGAGGGCTGGCCAGTCATCTCTGTCTGGCGTGGCTCCCCGCTGGGACGAGCTAATTGCTTACCTTGACGCAGAGCATCCTGGGGCTTGTAGTCCCACTCGGCCCACGGTTCTTAGAAGGGGCCGGCGTGTGTGTGTGTGTGTGTGTGTGTGCGGGGATCGCGGGTGAGATGAGATCCAGCTGCTCCTGGATGAAGCAAAAGATTCTGTGGATTAAAAAAAAATCCTTTAAAAGTGGAATACTGGCCTGGAAAAGCCACAGGCACCAGTGCAGCTCACTGGGCTATGCCTGGCAGAGCTGTGGAGGTGGGGCTGCCCAAGGTTTTGGGGGACCAGTTGCCCAGGATGCAGAACTTGGAGTCAAAGGTTATTTTGGAGCTTTAAGATGTAATGTCTGCCCTGCTGGGTTTTGGAGTTGTTTGGGGCCTGTTTCTCCTTTCTTCTGGCCTATTCCTCCCTTTTGGAATGGGAATATGTAACCAATGACTGTTCCACCATTGTATCTTGGAAGTAGATAATTTGTTTTTGATTTTTACAGGTTCACAGCTGGAAGGGCTTTTGCTTTTGGTCTCAGATGAGACTTTGGACTTTGGACTTTTAAGTTGGTGTTGGAACAAGCTAAGACTTTTGGGACTGTTGGGATAGAATGATAGTATTTTGTATATGAGAGTGACATGAGTTTTGGGAGGCCAGGGGTGAAATGATGGAGTTTGGATGCATTGTCCTCCCAGAACTCAGGTGGAAATCTGATCCCCAGTGTGGCAGTTTGAGTCATGGGGGTGGATCCCTCATGAATGGATTAGTGCTCTCCCTAGGTGGGGGAGTAATGAGTGAGATCTCACTCATCAGTTCCCGTGAGATCTGGTTGTTTAAAAGACCCTGGCACCTCCCCTCTCTCTCTTGCTTCCTCTCGCCATGTGATCTGCTCATACCTGCCAGGTGACTGCTGCTTTCCACCATGAGAAGAAGCAGCCTAAGGCCCATGCCAGATGCAGCTGTCCCAGAATCATAAGCCAAGTAAACCTCTGTTCTTTATAAATTACCCAGTTTCAGGCAACACAAAACAGACTAATACACTGTCCTATTGTGGTAACCAAGCCCACCTAAAATAGTTTAACCTGCCTCAAACTTTACAGTTGTCTGTGTCTATGTCTTGTCTCCCCTGTGAGTATAAACTCCTTAAGAGTAAGGACCATGACTAATTCATATTTTTAATCCTACACAAAGTCTACCAACCAGAATGCCCAGTGTGTGGAAGGTGTTCAGCAAATACCAGGTGAGTGGGTTAAAGGGAAGAAAACAATGTGGCAAAAATGCCTACCTGACATGCTGAAGCATCAAAACCTCCACTGACATTTCCGTTACAATCTTCACAAGAAAAGTGTCTTTCTTTGTTAACAGCGCTAAAAGACAAGAATGGATTTAAAAGACAATGTCCAGAAGCAGTGTGTACATGGGAAACAGCCGAGGGCCAGAAGACAGGAGACTCTTCACCACATAGTAAATCTGCTCCACCACTGACATATATGAAACCTTGGGAAAGCAACATCTGCCTGAGAGATTGTCTCTGCAAAATCTATCCTATTTCAAATTCTGTGATATGACTCCATGAAGAATTTGGTCAGCTGATTAAGACCATATTGGAAATATGGTGGAGTTCCTGCCCTTGGGCCAGAATGTTAAGAAATGGGCCTCAGAAGTCACTTCCTCTAATCCTCTCAAAGTTAAACATCTAGAAGGCTCCTACATAATGTGCTGAGATTTTTTTTCCATTAAGGACAATGCCTAGGCTGCTGTAGTAAAAGGGCCAAGTTTGGTAATTACTATAAGAAAGATTTTGTGTACTGCCTTTACTAAATACCTGAGGTAAATGGCAGAACCAGAGACTGAGTTAGGGCAAAAGACACATAAGAGAACAAAATCTGCCTGGAGAGAACACAGTCAATCACCACCACCCACCCTACGGAAAAGGCCTCGTGGCCTGAAGTGAGAACTTTTAAATACTTCCAGTTTTTTGGTTTTTTGTTTTTAGCAGCCAGAACAAAGAGCAGCACTTCAAAAAGATTTACTTACCAACCCGAGTGCTTCATAGCATCAAGCAGGAGTTTGACATATGGATCTAAAAAGATATTGATTTGATTAAGTATGCTAATTGGAAAAAGTAGCACCAATCAAATTATCCAAATAGCAGTGTAAGATATTATCAAAAAGTAACTCACAAATTGTAATGAAGTAATACTATCTTAAAATTGGTAAAAATAGACATGAAAAGACAAGCTTAAATTAACATCAAAGCAAGTCATTAATGAAATAAAACACTAAGACAAACATCAAGATGGTACCACCAAGCATCTTAGATAATATCAAATATGCTTTTCAAGGTCATTTTTAGTTAAACAATCAAACACATTGTATTAAAGTATATACCAAAAGACAGAGGATTTTGGACTACATTCATAGAAAGGAACAACGGCATAGTACCAGATTTGAGGAAGGCAGGACCCACACTGTTCTCTGTCCTGGGCAGACCGCACTGCTTACACCATATCCCATTCTGAGTACCTCACTCTAAATGGGACCTGCCAACTGAAGCTCTTCCACAGGGATGGTGACTAGAATAGCACCTGACTATGCTGAGTAAGAAGCAAGAAAGGATTTGGGGACTTAGAAAAGGAGAAAGAAGACAACTAGGACCACAGTAGCTTCAAGTATCGAAGGGCCAGGTGGAAATAGACTCAGTCAATATTCTTCAAAGGGCAGAACAAGGACCAAAAAGTAGAAGTTACATGTGGCAGATTTCAACTCAATATGAGAAAGGATTTTTCCAATAATTAAAGCTGTTGAAACAGACGAATAGACTCAAAAAGCATCAAAGAACAGGTTCCAGAAGAGGTCTATAGACAATCTGGTCCATGATGGCACACAGGTTTTCCTGTATGGGGGTGGGGAGGCCTAGATGATTCCTGAGAGCCCTTCTACTTCTAAGACTCTATGAGCTTATGACTATTACAGGAAAGTACAAGGAACCCAAATAGCTAATATCAACTTTTCATGTAGGCATGTTGTAGGAGAGTATAAATGCACAGCAAATTATATGACATAACCAAAAAAAATAGAAAAAGAAAAGAAACCAAGCTCTCAAAAAATGTTGAAAATAAAAACAGGTGAGTAAAAGAAAAGTCGTATGGGACGATAAAGTTAGATATAAGTTACCGATTTACTAATCTACCTCCTCTTAAGAATATTAACAGTAGTATAATTAATAATAAGTATTATTAATCAAGTCTATACTAGGTGTCAGGCACCATGTGAAGTGCATTATTATTCAAGCAACTAAAAGAATTTTACAAAGTTTAAGTGGTTTCAAAAGTCTGTAGTACCTTACTTAAAAAAAAAAAAATTGCAGGTAGCAGTGGTTTGGTACTTCAAAAAGGATCTGCTGCAGCGGTATTTAGAATGAATTTGCTTTGAAGAAAAAGAACAAAAGGCCTCCCACAAGGCCTGGCTTCTCCCATCACCCCTTGCCCAAGGACAGGATTTTAAAATTGCCGCTTGATGCTTTAATACCACCAACAGGCCCTCCCAGCAGCCCGCCCCTCGGGAGGTTGGGGCCTTCTGCTTCCTCCTGTGTGGCATCCCACCTATTTCAACTCACCCTCCACACCTTGGCTCTTCCACTCTAAGAACAGCTCCGGATATGCTGGCACTTTACACTCGTAAAATCTACTCCTCACAAAAACCCTAAAACAGGTATTTTTATTCCCCCCCACCACCTTTTTTTTTTTTTTAACAGATCAGGATAGAGGGGATCAGAGAAGTTAAGTCACTCTTCCACACCTAATAAAGGGACTATAATTTAAACCCATGTCTAACTCTGCAACCCATGTTCTTTCCACTATATTCGACTTTGAATGAAACACCTTAAAGGCAGGGTCCTTATTCATCTTTGTATTTCCCACACACACACACCATGGAATCTAGAAGGCATTCAGTACGTATTTGTAAAGTAAATTCAATGTTATAATTCTCTTCCTTTTTCCTTTTACTCCCCCATTCTCCTCCCATCTCCCTTGATTCTTGATATCAGATAATCACAAGATTGGAAAGTCTTTGGGTGGCT